TTCTGCAGGTAAGGCAGGTAGGAGGGCCCAGGGATGAAAATTGAGGAGCCTTGGTCCTGCAGTTGTTCAACAGTTATGAGATTTTTGCGAGCAGTGTGGATGAGAGTGGGGACCACAGCAAGGATGGGCAAACTGACCAGTTTGGTACAGGAGGCTATACAAGTAGGGGAACGCAAACAGGAACGTGGTAGAGGTAAGGGACAGTATAGTTAGATCGATAGATACTGCTGTCTGCAACCATGTGCTGAAGTCCCAAAGATTATGTTGCCCACTCCAGGTGCCAAGGTCAAGGGCATCTCCTCAGGTCTGAAGAACTTGGAGAGGGAGGGGAAGGATCCATTAGTCATTGTCAAGCCTGGTACCAACGACACTGATGGGATTAGAAAGGAGCTTCTATTGAAAGACTTTGAACAGTTAGGAGCTAAATTAGAAAGCAGAAACTCCAAGGTAATAACCTGTGAATTACTATCTGAGCCACAAGCAAACTGGCAAAGGGTACATAAAGTCAAAATGCATGGCTTAAATATTTGTGTGTGAAGGATTTTGGAGTCTGTGTACATGAATCACAAAAAACTAGCATCCATGTTCAGCAAGTAATACAGAAGACTAATGGAATGTTGGCTTTTATTTCAAAGCAAATGGCGTATAAAAGTAGCAATGCTTTGCTAAAACTATACAAAGCACTAGTCAGGCTTCAGCTGGAATACTGTAAACAGTTCTGGGCCCCTTATCTAAGGAAAGATATATTGGCCTTGAAGGCAGTCTAGTGACTGATCCCAGATGTGGAGGAACTGTCTTATGAAGAGAGGTTGAGTAGGTTGGGCCTGTACTCATTGTAATATAGAAGAATGACAGGTAATCTTATTGAAACATTCAGGATTCCTAAAAGATATGACTGGGTAGATATAGAAAGGTTACTTCCCCTTGAGGATAAGTCAAGGATCAAATGGTAAGTCTCGGAATAAGGGGTGGCACATTTAAGGCATAGATGAGGGGAATTTTTTTTTCTCAGAGAGTTTTGAATTTGTGGAATTCATTACCTCAGAGGGCTGTTGAGGCTGCGTCATTAAGTATATTCAAGGCTGAGATAGATATATTTTTAATTAGTAAGGGAGTTAAAGACAGGAAAATGAAGTTAAGGACGATCAGATCAGCCATGATCTCATTAAATAGTGGAGCAGATTTGATGGGCTGAATGGCCTACTTCTGTTCTTATATTTTGTGGTATTAAATATGTCCAACATTGGACTCCTGATATTTGCTGAAAAGTCCTGCTAGATAGTCATGATTCTAACTGTTCCCCTGACTTCACATTCTCTGACTGTACTCATATTATTACGTGTACATAATTCTAAAGACTCTAAAAGACTCTGTGGAAATCTACATAGACTTTATCTATCACTTTACCCTTGTCTATTCTCTATTCCTTTCTCAAAATATTCAATGCATTTGCTTTTCCTTTTTCATCTTTACCTTCTATTTATTATTATACTTTTCATTTTCTGTTTTCTTTTTTACAGTGATTCCATTATTTTTCTTATAGGCTTTCCAAGCTTCCGGGCAATTCAAAAATGTAGTGAGTATTGAACATGCTCCTTTTCATTGTGGAGAATGGCTGTCTGCGTATAAATGTTAGGTTGATTCTAGCTAGTGTACGTAATCCCATTGAAAACTCAACTGATTGTGTTATAATAGTTGTCAGTGCTGTCCAATCACAAAATCCCATTTAGCACGAGACATTTTGTTTCATGTTTTGAAAGCACAGGCTTGTTGAGTCTGCACTCTACCTATTACAAACAACTGGGGAACATGCTGTTTGATTTGTTTACTAGGATATATATGCTACATGCCTGGCATCGGATCAGCGCTGAAATTAATATACAATGCTGTTTAATTGTATGGCAGTAAGATATCTTTTTGAACTGAGCCTAACATCTTTGTGAAAAATCCCACTTGCATCACAACTGCATAGCAGCATTGTGTAATGGCTTGCTTAACCTATTGTTCAAATTTTTCAGATACTTTGGCTCTCCAGTGTAATTGAAGATAGACTAGATACTTTCATGTCCAAAAACACAAGCTTGCTCCAAATCAGTGAACAATGATCTGATAAGGAAATCCGTTGTCCCATGAGATAGCTTTGATGGGTTCTGTTTCTGCATCAAGCTTTCACATGAGTCTCCTCCCACTTCATCCACCTCCTCTCAGACTTTTAACATACTTTTCTAATTCCTCTCCTCACATACATTATTGAAAGAAGCTAAGTTATTTGGCTCAAACACTTCCTGTGAGCTCTACATTCAATCCACTCTGTTGAATGAAGAACTTTCTCCTGATTTTCCTATGGGATTTATTGAAAACTAACTTGTGTTTCGGCCCCAAATGTTTTATTCGATCACAAGTAGACAAATTTTCCATATCTAACCAGGCAAACTCAAAGGTCTCCTTTAAGTTTTCTTATTTCTAAAAAGAGTTCCAATCTACTCAATATTTCGTGACAGCTATAATCTTTTCATTCAGCTGCTATCTTTTCAAGTCAATTGCAATGGTTTAACAAGGCAGCTCTTCACCACCTTCTCAAGGGCAATCGAGGATGGTCAATATTGAATTGAATTGAATTAGCTTTATGGTCACATGCAGTCAAATGAGTACAGTGAAAAGTTTATGTCGCCTCTTACAGAACCATCTTAGGTACAAATGTGCTTAGGTACAATCCTTAGTTACAGAATAGAGAAATTAAGAAAGAAGATTACATTACAGCTTTACACAGTATGACTATAGGTCGGAAAAACCAAGAAGCAAAGCTAAAAACCCTCACTCACCTTTACTGGCTCCATCCCCGCCTCTTTGACCTGACTGTCTCCTCTCCACCTATCTTCTTCTCTATCCATCTTCTATCCACCTCCCCCTCCCTCCCTATTTATTTCAGAACCCCCTGCCCCTCCCCCATTTCTGAAGAAGGGTCTAGGCCCGAAACGTCAGCTTTCCTGCTCCTCTGATGCTGCTTGGCCTGCTGTGTTCATCCAGCTCTACACCTTGTTATTGTTGGCCAAGCCAGTGACTCCCACATACTGAGAATGAGTATTGTTTTCTCATTCCTTTTCCTGGTTCAAAGTTCTTTAAAAAGCATAAAGACCAAAACTTTGCACAGTACTAAGTATAGCCTGAGTTATCCCAGACAAATTGAACATAACTTCCAAACTTTTGAATTCTTCCCTCAAGCAATAAACCACAGGATTTTGTTAGTATTTTTCATTATCCTGTTGACTACCAATGCTGCTATTAATGATATATTCATCAGTTCCTCTAGATTGCTATGTTCTCCTCACCATTCCATTTCTTATCTTCTAATGTATACTTTGCCTTTGATAATCACTATCTAATTATTGTTGGTTATCTAATGAAAAGTTGATTATCGAGACAATATTGTACTAAAAAATGCTGTATTGAAAATAGTAAAGTTCATCGCTAGATATCAACAGAAAGAAACACAACAAATATCAAAATCTTTGAGAAGAGATTTGCAATGATTAGGGTATTTTCTTATTGAGGACTATTACACTGCAAGGAAATACCAGACACAGGATATAAATAGATCAGTGAGTATGTCGCTGACCAACGTCCAATTTATCCAGACTAAGTGACTGCAACGTGCAATTATTAGAACCTAAGCACAGAAAGTTTAATTTTAGAATACACGTGCCAAAACACCTTTAAGAAAAGATTTGCTGAGAATGTGTGGTATGTACTGGCTTTCCCCATCTCAGGTTTGGTGGCTGATAGGTATGCATATAGGCAAGAGGTCACCCTGCCACATTCCCACCGAGGCACTAATTAAATCCACGTTGGGTAGCATGACGAACAGCTTTCCAGCCACCAATTGAGGCCCCTAAGTAGGCAGTTACTGCCTCATCCCACTGGAACTGGTATTTATCAGTGGGTAGGGGTCTCACTACACAGAAAACCTGAAATACAAATGCTGGCATTTCTACATCGGTTTTCTCCTGGTCAGGCACTCAGTATCTAGTGGCGAGACCCAATATCAGGAACAGTGTGTGGCTGGGTGGGAAGAATTGAGGGAAGGAAGAAGGGAGGGGCACTGAGAAATACCCCACTACTCTAGCTACCAACTCCCCTTCCATGTAATCCCCAGCTTGCAACTCTTTTCTTGCCATCACTCACCTTTGCCTGGTTTCCTGGCAATCCTAGGCCTTGGGTTAATGCAGTACTAATATCAGCCATCACCTCCCCATTGGTGCCATTGAGCAATGGAGAATTGACAGCCTTCAACTGGCTGTCAGCTCTCATCAGGTGAGATTTCCAACCCTGAGGTCCTTGACCTTGGGGAAAGCCCACTGCTGCCTAGTTAACGACTCTTTGACAATTAATGCGGTGGACCTTTCTGAAAAGAGGAGACAAGGGATCTTGCTGTCTCTCCAGCTGGTGGGAAATCTCTGTCACCTCCACTAAATACTGTCTAATGTTTCTGACGTTTCCTGACAGCATGCAGAAAGAAAGAATTCTGAAGGCAAGGGTATGTCCGATTCTATATATTCTTATTGAGGATGGAAAGTGTTTGACGAAAAGTTATTCACACATGCAGAAGCCAAAACAGAACTACACTTTCCTGCCTCACAAGCCTCAATGCAGCGAACTTCAACATAATTGTCTACATCTGCATACACACAGACATTACAATGAATCTGAAGAACCATAATTAGAGAATTGGATATATAATAAAAAAATTTCACAAGTACATTGTGACAAAATCTGGAAGAAAGATTCAAAGATCTGTTCACCTCAAGTTATTTGTTTTTACAGGTTTTAATTGATCATTTGAAACATATATGTTTGATTCAATATTTAAGAAATATTAGAGATCTCACTGGAAGGAGAATGATAGCTCATGCAGGGCAGGGAAACTTTCCAGGGAGATTTTAACTCCCTATGCTGGATAGAAATGGGCCACAGCAGAACTAAAATGAACATGATAAACTTACCATCTTTTCACTTTGTGTTCGGTTGTTCTGCTGGGTGCTCTGGGTAACCATCTTAATCAGGTAGGAGCCTTATTAAGCTTCAAAATTTGGTAGTGCAACAAAAGAGGCCAGAAGAGGTAAATAATTCTTGTGGGGACTGGACAGCGACATGGCACTCTTTGGGGGTCCACAAAGACGGTATGAGTCTATGCACCTCAGGGCATTCTCCTTCATGATTTTAAATCCCTCTTATCGTTTCCCCAACATGTGTCTATCTTAGATAGTAGGAACTGCAGATGCTGGAGAATCCGAGACAACAAGGTGCAGGGCTGGATGAACACAGCAGGCCAAGCAGCATGATGCTGCTTGGCCTGATGTGTCTATCTTACTTCCTCAGATATTGTGCAAATCACGCACCAATGAACTGCAATGAGAATCTCTGTTGGACTGTGGAACTCACAACATATATGTTAATAAGTTGAAGAGGGCTGGGCCTCCCATTGACACTACAGTTGGTTGACCACTGCAAACTACTAATCTGCTTCCTAACAAATTCCATCAATTGAAGACCAGTGCACTGATGTGCAACCAAAAATCTGACCAGAAGTAACAGTTCCCTCGGAAACAAACTCAGCAACTTACCTCGTTACTATTACCTAGATCTGTGTGTTTTGCTTCAGTCTCCGAACTACCATGAGCAATGTTTTGGAAGTCTACTGATTATTTAGTATTTGATATTGTGAGAGATATCTTCAATGCCTTAAAGCATTAAATGTTATTCTTAATAAAGTTTTCTGTTTCAGACATGCAGCCTCTGACATGTGATGACAAGCGATGCATTTTGTTAGAAAGAATGAGGAAAGACAACATGAATTAATTGGGGAAATTTTAAAGAATCTGGAACAGAGAAACCTTTGGGTGCATGTGCCCCAATATTTGGAGCTGGCAGAACAAGTTGAAAAGACTAAAACAAAAAGTATCCTTGACTTCTCACATAGAGGCAAAGAGTACAAATAAAACAAAGAAATTAAGCTAAAATTTTAAAAATTACCTTTCGTGCCTCAGCTGGAATATTGTGTAATAATTCTGGGCACCTTGCTTTTGGAACAATGTCCAAAGATGTTAAAGGTAAGGTAAAGTCATATTAGAGAGTGGAAAAGGCTAGAAATAACCAAGAATGGGGATCTGTAGAGTGTAGAGTAAACAGAATGTAGTGTGGCTTGGGAAAATAGGGCTATTCTCCTCAGAGCAGACGAGGTTAAGCCGATATTTAATATGGACATTCAAAATCTTAAAAGCTTTGATGAAATAAGCAAGGAGAAACAGTTATCAGTGGCAGGACTGTTAGTTATCAGAGGACATAGATCTGAAGTGACTGGTTAAAGAACTAGAGGCAAGATGAGGAGACAAATTTTAAGTAGAAATTGTTATGATCTGGAAAGCATTGTCTGAATATGTGGTTGACGCAAATTGAATAATAACTTTCAAAATGGGATCAGTTAAGTATGTGAACTAGCTTAGTTGGCTGCAGCAAGTGCATGGATCAGACCAATGCCGGTTCTTTGGGGTTCAAACCTTGTTCTGGCTGTGGTAGACTTAGGACTTGCCTCCTCATCCTATATGTAATGGAAACTCATGATACTTTGCTGTGGTTTGATGAATAATTGCCAAGGGCATGCCTTTTGACAGGGAACTGAAGAAGGGATGCTTGAAGTGAAAATGTGGCTGGACTGTAGAGAAGGGAGATAGGGCTATTTGGATTGCCCATTCAAAAAGCCACCACAACCTTGATTGGGTGGATTGTTGAAGAGAGACCTTGGGGTGCAGGTACATAGTTCCTTGAAAGTTGTATCACAGACAGGGTGGTGAAGAAAGGCAACTAGTGATGGGCAACAAATACTGGCCAGCCAGCGATATCGACATCCCATGAGTGAATAAATTTTAAAAAAAGGATAGATTGGTGATTAGACCAGAACAAAGATCAGATGCTAACTCCACTTGATATATTTGCGAATTAATATGAACATGGATTGAAACTTAACATACTCATTGACCTAAAAGGCTTGGACATGGCATTTACATTAAATTACCACTAGTCTTATTTTAATATAGCATTGACTGACTTCCTTTAACAAGAATTTGGTGTGAGCCCCCTCAGAAAATGTCCCCTTATTTGAGAAGAATTCAATAAAGATTTGTCAAGCAGTTTTGTTGAAGGCAGTGTTTCTTTGTGCTTCACATGCAATTAATTACTTCAAATAGCAGTTCCAAATAAAGCAGCATTTTCTACAGCATGATTCAACAAAGGGTAGTGACATAAATGACCAGTTAATATGTTTATTTCTGGAGCTGCTTCATGTAGGAATGGCAGCCAAAGCAACAGGAGAACTCCTTGCCTCTTTGAACAGTGCTAGAGAATTTTTAACCTCTGCCTGAATAGGCATTTGGGACCTTAGCTTAGCATCTCATTTGAAGCATGGTACCTCTGACATTGCAGCTCATCACTTTTTACTGCATGAAATGCCAGTCTAGATTATATTCTCAGTCAGAAACTAACGCTAGAACCTATAATAAATAAGCAGACTTGATTTCAATTGTTCACACAAGAAGCAGAAATAAGAGGTACAAGGAGAGAACAACATTGAGTGAGGGGTTTACAACTTTTGTTTTTCTAAATAGCATTTCTATTATGTTCATAGTGATCTCATGTGTTCTGTAAACCATATAGATATAAATGGGATGACAAGAGAAGATCACAGTTATAAATGGCATGGTGACACACTACAGGTTGGAACATTCTCAGTAATCCTTTTTCCACAGTACATCTGAGCCATTTCTTTTGGCATTGAGAAACTGATATCCTGACATGAAGCTGAAGACTACAGTTATGATAGCAAATTGCATGTGAACTGTGTCAAGTTCCATGATTATCCATGGATTTTGAAGTGTGTTTCAGTAACAGTTATTTTTCTAACAGGTTCTCTGTCATGACAGTCTGCTAATTAGAAAATTTTCATGTTGATTCACAGTAACTACATGTGTGTTAATTTAGAATAAAAACCCTCTTGCCTTTACAATGTAAGCAGGAAACATACTGGGTGAACACTGGGCTAAATTTGTAATTGTGGTAGGCGTCCTTTTGACAGAACCAAAAACGGTGGAAAACTATGTTCCAAAAGACTGTGGAGTGCAGAGACACATTTTATCATGGCAGCCAGTTAATGGGCCGTAGAAATGCAGTGGGGATGCAAAGAGATTTCTGAATTGTCTATTTCAGAGTCCTTTGGGCAGGAGGCTGTGTGCTACATTCCCTTCCGCTGGCAAAATGTCATGGTGGTGGAAAGACATTGGAGACTCCACCCCCATGCAAAGCACTACTATTTTGCAGGTCCTCCAGACGACTGGTAAAATTCAGCACATTATTTCACAGTTTGTCCGTCAGAAGTAACTACACTATTGTTTGTATTACTGCTGGAATCAGAAGAATGTTTTTTTTTAACCACTCACTTTGGGAGCTTAGTGGTTGTGGCCAAATGTGGTTCCCAAACCTGCACTGGCTTGCAATGAGAGCAGCTTGGTCATTTTCCCGGATCAAGCTTCAAATTGCTTGTCTCAGGAGTGTTCCATCAAATTAAGGATTCCTGATGCTGCTGCTCCAATCAAAACCTGACCACTCTAAAGCCAGCAGAAAGGTGGGCTCAGCTGAAATACTTTAGAAACCTTGTGTATCTCCAGGTCTACAATAAAACAATCAAGGAGCTGAGGAGATACCCTTTTGGACAAGTATGCTGGGGTTGTGGCTTGATGGGGTACTGCTCTGTTTCTCAATGACTTTAAATCACAAAGCCTCTTCTGTCATTACCAATGCCTCCATCCCCCAACCCCAGCTGCCACCCCTTCACACCTCCCCACCCCACGCCAGCTACTGCAGCAAAGCTGCTTCCATGAAGGTAGTGGCATCTACATTCAGCAGCATTGGAGCTGCTCCAATGAAGGTAAAGGTATCTGCATTATGCAGGGAGCTGCTCCGATGCAAGCACAAAGCTGATGGCCCTGTTTTAAGATCCTCACGTAAGGCCCCAATTATGCAAATTAGTTTTCTGTGTCAATGGAGTGGACAGTTGGTCAGCATTTTGCTTGCCAGCTGCCTGCCAGTGCAAACCTCCCCACATGTGTGTAGCAACAGGCAGTCTTTTAAACATGTCTCCCGGCTAATTTAACAGCTTATCGTTTTTATTCCTGCCACCCAGAGATAGTAAGATATAATCAGCAAAGTCAGAATGGCAATTCACTGCCCGAGCAAGGAGGCCTTCTTGAGCAGCTGCTGTCTTGTGGTATGGTGCTCCTAAAATGATGTTTTGGGGAAAGTTTCATCATTTTCACCCAGAATGATGAAGGAGTTCATTCAGAGGAAGAGGCCTTCTTATATGACGTTTCGCTGGTTGCAATGAAAGAGCAGAATCTCCTGTTTGATAAAATCTGGACAAGTGTGTTCAGTCAATGACTCAGGCATGACGGAATGCTCCATTCTGCATGAGCACAGTGCACATCCTGTTGGTCACAAACTAAACATCCGGTCAAGTGAGATGTTGGTGATGGCTAGCACCACTGCTGTAATGTTATTTCACAATTACTGACGTTGTCCAGTCATCATTGTTTTGTTTCTTTTCTTCTCCAAATGTTGTAGATATTTGGAATCAGTGCTTGATGTAGTGACACATTAAACTAATCTCTCATTTCAAGTGAAGTTAGGTCTCCTCGTCATCATTGATATGCGGCTACTTAAACCTCTCAACTTCTTGGGTTTTGACAGGTTGAATGAAAAAAGTCATTTCTCCTTGTTGGGAGTCAAAGTAACATTGATATGAAGATATAGTGAAGAGAGAGTTGAGGATGGGTTACTTCCATATAGGGGTGTTGGAACATGCAATACTTTGGCACTTAATGAATATTATCGATACATGTATTCCTTTCATGCCAGAGTGAAAAGTTTTGATTTGGATAATTTGTAGAAGTCAAATAACTTGCAGCTGAATATATTGCTGTTCTTGTCCGCTGCAGCTTATAGAACA